ATTTAGATGTCTGCAAAGATCAAAATCAGGGTTTTGTTGGCTCTCCTCGTTGGGTACACTTACATGCAAAAAGGAATTATGATTGCTCAAATAGTAAGGATCGACTATCAAAGGTCAACTCTTGATACCCTCCATGATGCAAGTTTGAGCTAGCGCATTGCTCTTGAGGGTTGTGTTAGTATGGGATGAAGTTTGAATGCATCTATTGGGAATGCGCTTGCGTGACCCTATCGTCACGTTGAACTCATCCGTCCCTTTGCCCATATTAGATAGGCTCCTGGTGGTTCGTTTCCTCCACCATTAGTTGTTTTCCTGGGCATCACCCTAGGCACTCCAGATCTAGTGACCTCCCTTTGATGGGATGATTTCGTTGTAACCCTCCAACCGTGCTAGAATGATCTGCGGCAATCCTGCATTCCTAACTAAGAGTTGGAGAAACGATGCTTCATGGCTCCGAAGAATTGTTTACAACTTGCCTTGCCCTCCAATCGGTTACCTCCCGCTAGAGATTACCAATTGCATGGGTGATGTTCCAAAGCATCTACACGATATGTGGGTTCTCGTTGTGAGTACCTGTATCTTGGCAATTTTCTCCTGGGGAGAGTGTAACAACTAGTGAGAGGTTGTTGGCAACCTCTTGGGTGTTCCTTGGACCTTCTGTTGTGAAGGTGCCAACTTAGTTTGCACTAATTTGACTCTTAGTGATTCTCGTTTACGTGCCATTTCCAACGAAATATTGTGACCGACTTAGTGATAATCGTATTGAGTTACAATGAAGCTGACTTCAACTAGGATGCTCAAGTCGAGCCATTCATTCTAGCGCCAAGATGTTGATGCAAATTTTCACACTGACTAAAGCATCAAGGCAAAGATACACGTCAACTAGAGATACTTGATTGACTCTAGGGAGAACCGAGCAAGATGGGTGCGTGGTTCTAGGGAACTAGCAATAGAGAGTGAGCTATTGTGATGAGATTGGAGTCACGTGAGGTGTTTACAAATAATAAAAAATAGAGAAGCAGACTTCTTTAAGTGGTTCAGCCGAATAAAAAAATCAAGCCTCCATCCACTATTCTTATTTTTCAAGGCGAATGATTACAAAGATTTACAATATCAAGCATACAAAAATTTCATTTCTTTGTCTTTGATTCCTTCTCCCTTTTTTCTCCTTTTCTTTTGTTCTTTGCCCCTTCAACCCCCCCCCCCCCCCTTTTTTTTCTTTTCGGGGTTTTAACTTGGTATTTATAAGAGTCGCAATGGCAGTAGTTAGTGGGGATTTGCATCAACGAAATGATTTTTGTCTACCCTGACACATTTTGGGCAATCAAGGCTGTCAGGGCATTATGACACTTAATCGTGATTACGATTGTAATTAATTGAAGTTTGTCAGGGAGTAGCTACTTGTTATATAAAGCAGTTGCATGTATTGCACTTTGTGCTCATGTAGTTTAATAGGTTATTAGGTGTTGCTCTATCAACACTTGGCTCATCCGTCTCGAGCTGACACGTGCTTTGGATTATATTGCCACTTGATTTCTCAAGTGCAATGCCTGGGTTGGGATTATTGCATTGGTCTCAAGCTGGAATCTTTTTTCTGCACAATAAACGTGAAAACATGGATGTTTTTGCATTCTCCGTTTTAAATAGTTGTTCCAAGAACGAGCTCGTCATGAGAGATACGAGGTGTCAAAGCAGCTCTTTAGGAGTCATATGTCTGGCGAAACCCAAGTTGGTCCTCATGTACTCAAGATGATTGGGTATATTGACAAGCTCAAGGCTTTGGGTTTTGGCTTGGATGGAGTATTGGCTATTTATCTAATTCTTCAATCCTTGCTTGATTCATTGATTCTCTCTGTTCATATTGAATTTCAATATGAACACGATGGAGAAAACCCTCGCTGAGCTCCTAAGTATGCTAAAGACTACGGAGCAAGACAATAAAAGGTCAAAATCAATGATGTTAGTTACTTCAACACTGGTGGAGGGGCGAGCAAAGGTAAGGCCAAGGATATAGTTATGTCTACCTTATGAGACATGTAAAACACTAATACGGAAAATGCTCTTTGGGGGGGGGTGTTGTCGCCTTAGGGTGGTGGGAGATTAATAAAATAATGCGGAATAAAAATATCTCCAACAACCCAAATGCTAAGCACTTAAACAACCCTAGACACAACAATGAATGAGCAATAAATGGAGTCTATTTAAGAACAAATATGTTATAAACAATAAATATGATTTATGAGCATGAGGCAAGTATAAGCATTCAATAAGCAATAAATATGAGAGATAGGGAAGAGAAATGCTTAGAGATTTACAGTGGTTCGGAGCTATATCCACAAGCCTTCTACGTCCACTTCTTCAAGGCAACCTTCTTAAAGTTCCACTAGAATCAGATTTCGCCTTTACACTAGTTTTCACAGGATTTCACTTGTACAATAGATTGATAGGATTTCACCCAAAGGATTTTTGTCAAAGTGTTTTGTGAATGATTGCCTCTAATTATCTAGGCTTATAAACACAATAAGAGTTCAAAGCATTCTCTAAAGATATTTAAAGATTAGTACAAAAGAGAGTAATGATTTGGATTTTAAGCACTAGGGATTATGTGAGAATGTTCTTGATGTATTTTTACTTCTTTCTTACTTGTCTCTTGTTTCTCTGAGCAATAATCATTGAATTTATATCTCTCCAACTTAGATAAAGAAAAGAGTCATTGTTGCATTAAATGCAGTTCTGCAAAGCTGCAGAATCTAGGGGAACGGGCATTCCATCATCATGAGCAGTCGTTCCTAACACCAACAAACACTTTTTTGTTGACTTCAAGATCTTGGAATGGTCATTCCCTTTATTGAACATAACGTTCCCATAACACGAATGGATGTTCCACCATCTGGAACAGTCGTTCATCTTTGGTTCATCAAGGTCCAGAATTTCCAGAGCCTTAAACGGCATCGTGGAACGATCTCATTCCTTCATGGAACGATCTTCAAGGATTCTGGAATGGGTGTTCGTTCAGGTCGTTCAGGTCTCACATTTTAATTCCAAGATTTGATTTTAGCTCACAATTTCTAACCCTGAATCTTGACTTTGATTGGAACGGGCATTCCACCAAATGGAGCGGGCATTCATTCTTTGATAGCAATCTTACGTCAAGATTCTAGAGTCATAAATGATGAGTGGAACGATGTCGTTCACTATAGAATGGGCATGATGGACGATCTTTCATCATTGTTGTTCTATTTTGAATGAGCATTCATTCTAGTCATTCTGTTTGGAACAGTTTGATCACTCATCCTAGTCGTTCTTTATGAAATGAGCGTTCATCTTGGTCATTCTATTTGGATAGGCTTGATCTTAAAGCAGAAACTTGGCAGAGTTGTGAACAGGCATGAGGAACGATGTTGTTCCATTTGGAACGGCTTCCTGGTAAATTTATAAAGGAAGGAACAGATGTTCAGCTGAATTGAACAGGCCGGGCTTTCCATTAAGGAAAAATCTGCAATTTGTCAGGGTTATGACATAAGTCATACCTTTGCATTTTTGTTAGATTCTAACCAATCTTTTGATTAGTTTTGGCACATCAAAACACATTAGAACTCAACAATCTCCCCCTTTTTAATTGATGACAAAACTAAAAGCAAAAACTCCCGGAGCATTTCCCTTAACCAATGCCAAGTAAAACAAGTTAAGCATAAGCTCCCCCTCACAACAAGCATATACCAACAATCATTGCACAACACACAATTAAACTTCTTCTGATCTCATTTTTGTCATCTCAGCTACTCTACTCACAACACAATACTCAATTTATACTTCTTCTCCCCTTTTTGTCATCAAACAAAAAGTTCATGGTTATCATCAACCCAATTATAAACCATAACAATAAGCATGATGAAAAGACATGCACATACACATCAAAGGATATATATATATATATATGAGGAAAACGTAAGAACACAAAACATTAAAAAAAATAATAATAAATAAATTCAAGTGTCCAGTGAACACAACTATTTCCCGTGTGCAAAATAAGCTAAATAAGAGTCAAAAAGAAAAAAATGAATCCTAGACTCTAGGTTGAGGTGGTTTTGGAAAGGGTGGCATAGATGCTTGAAGACGACGAAGCTCGTCGGACATCTCGAATAGCTGAATAATTAAGATCTCGAATTTTGTCTCGAAGTGTTCCTCCATTTTTTCAAGCAATTCTTTAACTGAGCTTGCTCCCCTTGAGCTAAAGCCAGCTTCGGTTCTTTGTCTCTTTCGAGATTTTTCATCAGATGACTCAGATTCTTCCTCCATTTTCCCTTTGCCTTTGTCGTTTGACATCGTCCAAGTTCCATTTTTCTTCTATTTCACCGTTCCCATTTTCTTCAACATGTAGCCAGGGTTTTGTGCTATCCTTACTTTCGTATAAAATAGCAATTCAATACAAAACTCAAAAAATGATGAAGAATAATATGTAATTAAAAGTAATACTATGTTAGTTTTTTCAAATCAGTTTTCATATATACTGCTACTATTACTACTCTTGCTATTATTCATGCTAAAAGAACATTTATATTAACTTCTCTTTGTGTTTGGCCTAATAACAACATAATTTTAAATTTAAGTATAAACCTCTTTAATATTTGCTAGAGGATAAGAAACAGTAAAATGTCGCAATTACTCTCAGAGAAATTCTAAATCTACACATTAAATCTCTTGCCAATTTTAGCATATTTACGTCATAAAACAATGATATGAGGTTCCAGGCAATTTCTCAACAACCTGACAGTTTATTATTTTGTCAATTATCGAGTGGTCAGAGGTATTGAGAACGTACATGAAATTCCAATTATTTTGGTAACGTAGTTGATGTTATAACTAATCTATCTTCTTGAATTTCCTAATTTGCACTCCTTATTCAATGAATTATTACCTTTCTCATAGTATTTGCCAAAAAAAAAAAAAAAAAAAATTACACCATCTGTTTCAGAAAATCATAATCAGGTAATCAATGCGACAAATTAATTATTTAGAATATCACTTGAGACTTTATCAAAGATGAGGTTCAAGCTAATATTTTGGTAAAAATAAAATCAATTTTTATGAGCATGGTCCTTTTGATAAGAGTTTGGCTTCTTTGAATCAACTTCTTCTTCGGCTGAATAGAAAGGTTCATCTTCTGATTCAGCTTCAGCTTCAGCTTCCTCCATTTCAATAAGCTTTTCCTCATATGGAATAGGCTCCACAAATTGAACATGTTTTTCCTTCTTTGCTTCAACCATCTTATTCCCCTTCTTCACTGGACTTGTCTTTTCATCTTTGCCGTTGTTTGTGTTTATGCTACAGTTGGTGAAAGCACGGCTTTGCTGCACATCTAAAATGATGCCAAGAAGTACAACAAAATTATGTGCCATGAAATTAAAGCCGTACCCACTTATTTCAATGGTTTCAAAAAAATTATGTACGATTCTAAATTTTTCACAAATATTTAGAATTTATTGAATTAAAAAAAAACAGAGTAATGGCTACCTTGATCTTTGTTCCTAGGCTTGTTGTAACCCGTCTCTGTCCCGTCCGTTTTCTTTGAATTGCTGCAACCCATTTCCCCCTAGAATATTCTGACAGAAACTTTTGAGCAATATCTTCGCATTGTGAAGTTGTAAGTGAAGAAGATGTGATGAATGTCATATTAAGGAGGTAATTTATTACTGGATATCAAAGAAGATTTACCAGAGCAAAAGATTAATTGCACACTTGGGATAAATCCCTGCTGAGTAATTGTATTGGGCGCTGAGAGAAACCTCAACAATTAAATGACAGTTGTGTCACCAACTTTTCATCATGACATTACCATTTCAGCAGAAAGGGGGTTGACTTTTGATGTTGTTACCATGTAATAAGAATTAAACCTTAGTGAATGTTACCACATCCAGATGTGCACAAAGCAAATATGCTATCAATTTGGAGAAATAAACAAGCTTGAAAATATAAAGCTATAACAGGATCTGGTCCTGCAACTTTGTTTTCTAATTGTGTACAATGATCAATACTTGTAATTTTGCTGAAAGTGGATTCCAAAATTGATCATTCTCACTCACTATTTGATTTTCTAAACGGGGAGATCATCTGTCAAAATACTATCGAGTACATCCGACCAGAATAATAATATCAAAACTAAAGAAGCATCTTATGGAAAGTATGTAGCTCAACTAGTAAAGTGCAAACACAAACTCTTTTGAGCAACTTAAACTCATAAGTTAAGAAATGAAAGCACTCAAAAAATTTAATTGAATCCGCAAATAAAAGCTGCAGCAAGGAAAAGGATGACTATAGCACAATACTCAAACTAGAGCTCCAAAAAGGTATATATAAAACAGTTGTACAAGTACCTTCAGGATTACAAGATCTTGCAACATATACTTGTTCAGTTTTGCTCAAAAGCAGAAAGCTAGACACAACCGAACATTAGGATTATTCTGTACAATGCTTGTGGTTTATAACCACGACTAAACCCAACAGACAATGTTCTGTCCCAATTAATTGGGAATCAACTCTCTACATAATAGCAAAACTACTAGAGGTCCCTCAATTTCCAGTTCTCTTCATACCTTCCAAACGAATGACCCATTGAAGGCGCCTCAGTTAAGTGTAGATGATCAGGTTCAATGCCATAATCAGTCAATGGTCTGTGCTCAAGAACATCATCATGACTTTGCACAATTTCAGGAATCTCAACCTCTCCCTTCTTTATGTCATTCCAGAGATACTGAAGGCGGCTTACATACTTGATTTTCCAATATAAGCTGCAAAGTTAAAGAATAAAACAAAACTTGTTCATATTGCTCATCACAAGTTCAAACCATATAGAAAATTTAGGCTTTGAATTTATGTCCACTCACCCTCCACTTAAGAATAATCGGCCAAGAGTGGCAAAGGCAAGCCTCGACCACAACCCAGGGTGAAGGAAGTACATGACTTGAAGCCTGTCCTTAATGTTTGAAGGAAGGTCTTCATAAATCCACCTCAAGATAGTGAGGCCAGGGTAATTGTCCTCCTTTTGCACAGTACTATGCATGTAAACAATGCAAAAAGGCCCCTCTGGCAATTCACTGCATATTTTGTGGAAAATATACTTCTTCAACCGCTCCCCACTCAGAACTGGAGCTGCATATTATTAAAGAACCAACTAGCTCACTACTATATCCAATTAATCAAAACAAGAATACAAAATTTACCCAAATCAAAAACCCTCAATTAACACTTAATACAAAATTTACCCGAATCAAAAACCCTCAACTAACACTCAATACTATGTAGCATAAATCATCCACAAGAAGCAAAGTTTACAAAGAAAGAGAGAAACCATCACACATATTATAATCAGCTTTACTCTGTAAGAAGTTTGTCATATTCACAACCAAAATAAGAATCAAATGTAAAAGAAAGAAAAGGGGGTGTTTGGTTACCGGGAAAATACTTTCCCACGATGCGAAAAATGCGGTTTCCGGATTTATCAGAGCCTTGGAGGGAAAAGAATTGAAGGACATCGAGATCTGAGAAGTCTTCATCAGAAGAGAGGTACTGGGCACAATCGTGCCACTGTTCATCTGGTTCTTGTTCTTCTTGTATTTCTGACAGAAAAGGACGCGCATCTATTCCCAAATCTGAAGCCAGTACCACCACCGAAAATTCATCTGATGATGAACTCCCCATCTTATATTTTCTTTCTCCCAATCAAAATTTCTTTGCTTCCCTTTGTGCTTTTGCATCTACTTCATTCCTTCCTATGGTACGGGTTTAATCGTGTTTTGGTAGTGAGGTCCTTTGCAAGGACAATTAATTAAAAACCCTAGCAAAATCATCCTTGACGTTAACAGACTTTGGTTTGGTGAAAGTAACTCGCTCCTTCGGTTTTAGAAAGTCACTTTTTCAATCTAGAATTTTTGAATAATGGCATTTGCATTCTTAAAGCCGAAAAAAAAAAAAAAAATGCTACATAAAAACTGTTGAAGGGCAAAATAAGTAATTATACAGAATTGTTATGTGTCAAAATCTCTTAATCCGTGCTTATAAAAGAAGAGCTGATGAGAGTAGAGTTTATATGAATAGAGCTTTTATGAAAATTTGTTAGTTTTGGTCAAGAAAATGTAAAAGCACTTTCTAATATTAAGGTATGAAAAAGGGAATAGTTCAAGTAAAAGTTGTATGATATTTTTAAAATTTCAACATTTTTTATTAGCTCAAAAATAGCTTATGGTAAAAGCTCAAATTTTGAGCTTCTCCTATAAGCTGTAAAAAAGCTTATTTAAAAATACTATAAGCAATTTCAAAAGGTAACCAAACAATTTATTTTTTTTTATTTTTTTTTTAAAAAGTGTTTATAACTTTAAATAAACTCTTTTGGCTTTAAATAAGCCTAATCAAACAATCTTAAATCTTCCATTGGACCATTATCTTTTGCATCTCATTAACTTCTAAAAATCTAAGAGCATCTCCAAATAACTCTTTATATGACCCAAACTCTTTATTATAAAGAGTTTATCTATAAAAACAAGAGTCTAACAGACTCTTTATCTTTAAAATATAAATTAGAGAGTGAGTTTGACTCTCCACATTTGGAGAGTCAAATTTCACTCTCTGTCCTAATTTTAATTAATAAACTACAAGTTTCTATGCATTTTATTTATTAATTCTGTCTCTCATTAAGTCTCTTTCTTAAAAATAAAGAGCATCTTCATTAACTTTAAAGAGTTTATTGGATTTAAATAAAAATTGTATTCTTTATATTTTAAAATTAATGAAGATACTTTTTATTTATATGAAAGATGTTCTTTAAAATAAAAAGTATCTCCAAATGACTCTTTATATGACATAAACTCATATATTATAAGGAGTTTATCCATAGAAACAAGAGTTCAACAAACCATTTATCTTTAAATATAAATTAAAGAATGAGTTTGACTCTCCATATTTAAAGAGTCAAATTTCACTATCTATCATAATTTTAAATAATAAATTATAAGTTTCTATATATTTTATTTATAATTTATTTCTCATATTAAGTTTCTTTCTTGAAAAAACATATTCTCTCTCCTAAAATTTAAAGATTCTATTAGATTTGAATAAAAATTTTGTTCTTTATATTTAAAAATCAATGAAGATGTTTTTTATTTATATGAAATATGCTTTTTAAAATAAATAGCACAATTAGAGATGCTCTAATACCTTAAAATAGGGCAAAAATTGTTAATTAATTTTTAATTTATTGTTGTTTTTATTGTAATGACAATAGAAAAAAAAAAATTCAAAGGTATTTCTATCTTTTGACATGATTTTAATAGATTTTATATTTTGGTAAGAGAATATTTTAAACCCTTAAAGGGGATTCTTGAACGAGTGAATATAGGCAAGTTTGTCAAACGACTATTGCATGTTTGATTTTTCTATCCTCTCTCTTTAATTTGTACAATTAATTTTTTAATATTTTTTTTTCATATTTGTTCAAATTTAATAAATTGAATGAAAATTGACTTAGTAATTTAAGAGGAAAAAACAAAGTAAACTAACGTAGAACATGGAATTAGTTTCACATTCAATTCACCCGTCGCTTGGGTAGTCCATCCATTCTTTCAGAGGCATTGATCTCTTTATCCATGTTGGGCTAACTTTTTTTTTTTTTTTTTTTTTTTAACACTCTATAAATTTTTTTTTTTTTATTAAATTAATTTATAATTAAAATTTATATCATAAACATTACTTTTTTTTTTATAGAAAGGATATAAACATTATTAGATCCATATATTCTTAATGGTTTATGTATTTAGAAATAATAAATATTAAAAATATTTTAATTAATATGTTGAATTTATTTTTTAATTTGATTAGATTATACTTACTTTAATTTGTTATGTAAGATTACAAGTATTCGTATAAAGTAATTCCTTAAAATACTATATCACTAATTAAAATTTATGTTTAAATAATCTATATATTTCTTATTTAGGTTTATCACAATTATTAAATTATATGAATATCATGGCTGTGTTTGGGGCATTATTTCTACCAGATGGTATCTCTATCCTACCCAAAATACATATTTGTTTCCCTATTCTGAAAATTCAATTTTATTTTATTCAACTACTTTAAACCCTCTAGATTTGTTAATTTAACTAAATACCCTCAACAATAAAAGTTTATAAATTGACAAATACACTCCCCCCACCCACATATTCCCAGCAGCTGGCCACCGGTTGCCAGCATTTAATGGGTGAATATGGGTGTTTTTGTTAATTTTAAAACTTTTATTATAGAGGGTGTTTAACTAAATTAACAAATATAAGGAATTAAAAAAATAATCTTATCAAACACATTTACAAATTCAGATCTTACCTCGTAATAATAACTCAACAAAACTTTTTTTCAAAAATACTATTTAAAATAATAAAACAAACACACCTAACTATTAAAATGAATAATTTAAGTTACAGCGCCACACACACATCATAAATACATGCTATTAAAAAGGTTTTAGTAACTCATTATTGAATTTAGATAACAACTTGAGATTATTAATATTAATACAATAAAATTGTTATCATTTTAATTAATATAATTATTATCATTTTATTAAAATTGTATACTCATCATTTTATTTTCTTAATATTATCAAATGAAAATTTAAATTATGGTACATTCTTTACGCATAAATATTCTTAAATGTGTTATATATTATATAATTATACCTGGTTATCTAATATACAAAACTTATTTACTTATTATTATAAATTATATGTAATTAATAAAAATAAATATTAAATTAGTTTAAATTTTTTTATCGACTGTTTAAAATTTAATATTTATAAGACATAATTAGAGCTGGTCAAGGACCGGTCCCAAGAAGGCCCAGGCCTGGGCCCGTTTGGGATCAGTCGGTCATGGGCCTAGGACCGGTCCTAGGCCCATGAGCAATTTCAAGACCCAGACCGGTCCTGGGCCCATAGGACATGTCCTATGGGCTTGCAAAATTTTATTTTCCCCCTATCTTTTTTTATATTTTAGGGGCGAAATGATATTCTGTAGGGGGTTTAGTAATTTTCAAGGGTAGATTAGTAAGTTTTTTAAAGTTTAATTAATTTTAAAAATAATGAAATAATAAATTAATTAATGGTTGATTTTAACATAAATGTAATATTTGCACAATCACACATTCACGCTTCACAAATAAACAATTAAATAAATTTTTTTATTAAATTATTTATCTTCATTATCAACAATATTTAAATCATTAAAATATGTGTTTCTAAAGAGTTCAAGTAGTTCGAGATCTTCAGGGTGCTATTGTAGTCTTCTTTCTACATGAGTCCAATCCCGTAAACACATTACCACTTCAATCATCTCTTCGGTTAAAGAGCATCTTCTCTCAGATGCAATTGTAGAAACCGGCACAGATAAAATGTCACGTGCCATTTAGGTTACAATGGGGAATCGACTTTGATGTTGGTTCCACCATTGAAGCAAATCCATCTCATGTTTCTCCTTCTTCGTCATGTAGGACATGTCCATTTATAGGTAGCGATTCAGCTCATTTGGTCCATGTATGTATGAGCTGGAGCTGCTATTTCCGTCATGTTCCATATACGTCCACATGCTCGATCCTTGATGAAGGTCTTCATCAGGGTCCTAATCGTCTCTCCTGGATGTTCCACTTCCACTTCCATTTCCATTGTACCTGTTATAATATAAAGAAAAAAGACTTTCCAATTTTTGCTTAAAGTCAGTTAAATAAGACGTATAATCATGTTCTAATGCTAGTTTATCTCAGTAATTATACAGTTAACTATGTGTAATTTAAACCTATGATCTACAACAAGGTCTAATCCATATAAGAATGAAATATCTAACCAATATTTCTCATATTTTTCTTCCATCTTTAAAATAATTTCCATTAAAATGTCATTATATCTATATTTAGCAAAAGTTTTAGAAATTTGAAATGAAATATCTAACGCTAAATTAGTAGTTTGATAATAAATATCACTTAATGTATTAGTGGAATCATAAAAAAATTTAAGAAATGAATAAAAAAAGTTTACAAACCGTCCAATCATCATAGCTAACAACTTCCTCTAGATGGTTTTTCCAGTTGACGAAATCTATAATTTGTCTTGCGGTTGGCAAAGCTTTTTCCAACATCAAGTAGGTGGAGTTCCAACGGATAGGCATGTTTGTACATAACTTCAAAGGTAGAACTGGTGGGTCCTCTTGCCTACAATATTTGACGTACTTCTGCCATCTTTTGTTGCTACTGTCGACCATAAATCCAATAGCCATGCGCACCCTCTCCATCTTCGAATGTATAACATCTAAACCTGCTTTAACAATCAAATTGATGATGTGGCAAGCACATCTCTAGTGAAAAAAAAAATTGCCTTCACCACGCGGATCCAATCTATTTTCAAATAAAGAGATTGTCGCAATGTTAGTAGCTGCATTATCAAGCGTTAGCGCTACAACTCTATCAGTTAATACACATTCTTGCAAAACTTCAAGAATTGTAAAAATAAATAGTGTCAGTGTTATGTTTTTCATATAATGGTTTAAAACCCATCAATTTTTGTTGTAAACCCCAACTATGATCTAAGAAATGTATTGTGACAGTTAAAAAATCTGTTTTTGATATACAAGCCCATATGTCTTATGTAAGTGCAGTAGATATATTCTTAAAATTTTGAAATTCGTTTTTAAGTCTATTATTTATTTTGTTATAAAGTTTTAGTATATCTCTTTTACTTGTACTTCTACTAACAGGGGTATATGCTGGACAAAATGCAGTTTTAATCATATGAATAAAATAAGGATTTTTAGATAAACAAATAGGAGAGTCCGTAGCAACTATGAATCTTGCTATTTCCTCTCATGCAATATGTGCATTGTATTGTCATGTTGA